TGTATGTATGTACACCTGACTATGTAGAGGCGATGCGATGCCACTACTTGAATGTGTAATTTACGGTTTAGTTATGTAATTGTATTTAGTTAAATGCCACGACGCGACGCGACCGACCACCACATCGTCCGGCGTACGAGATTCTACTTTAATCTAAACATAATATTATAAATTACATTATATAATAATAATTATAATTATAATAACCGAAAACACCGGAACATCTTCTGTATTGAATGTATATGTGACTAGAAGCGTATGTGTATGTATATTTGATTATTTTGTAAAATTTTTCAAAAACTATAAATAAAGTCTATATTAACATATAAATGTAAACCCCGAGGGCCTGCTCCTCAGCCTTCTTTGTCATAATTTATGCAACCACTGCCCTCCCCCTCCATGTGTGTAGTTACCCACTTTTGATACCTAAATTACCAGTTCCTTCCCATGACGACGACGACGACGACGACGACGACGATGATGATGCTGATCAAGCTCATCTCATCATTCCATCGTCCTGCCACCTTCCGTCTGCAGTACATATACAAACACAAATGCAACTTCAAGATGGGAATAAGGCTGAAATGGTAACCGTAACTAGTCGAGAGCGGAGTGCAAGGAGCACATGCATGGCCACAGCAGCTTGAAGGTATCTGAAGTTGCGTAAATGCAAACTTGGTTTATTTTATTTACTCCAGCTCCAGTTGTCATAGCCCACCTTTTGTATGGTCCGCCACTCCTCCAGGAGTATGACTGTGTAGACATTTAAGTGGGGGAAACCCCACACGCCAAACTCACTCCTCCCTAGTAGCACTTCCCATCCATGTGATGGAATGGAAATGAAAATGGAAAAGTTTTCATGTTGCCTCTCAGTCACTGTTGGGGCGAGTGGCTGGATGGATGAATGGCAACTGGTTACACAAGCTCTGCTGCCTGTCTCCCCCCTCCCAGCTTGAGGAAAAACTTTAAATGGAAAATTTGACAGTCAGACATAACGGTATTTTAAATATGATTCACATCCACATGCACACATACATCACACGTGTGCGTTCCGACACTGAACTTTCATTGAAATCAGTTGGAGGAGCCTAGGCCATGCGAAATGTTGTACGAGTTTTTGGCAGAGAACTTTACGAATATTCCACATACGGAGAACCCAAATCGAAAGAGGCTCTGGTGGGGCTAGCCAATTGAAAAGTTTCACCAGCTAATGAAAAAAAGAACCCCCCGAGAGGGGACGTGCCAATGGCCTTAACAAAATCGCCGGAGCATTACGGTCACGTGTGTGCTTGCCAAACGAACTGAATTTGTTTAATAATTTGCTTAAAAATAAAAGCAATGCCAAGGCAGCAGAAGGCTCTCGGCATGAGGCACGAGGCACGAGGCACACGGCAATTGCAAGGTGCAAATGGCATAAAATTACCGCAAAGAACCAGCGACCCAATAAGCAGCTTCCCCACGTGTCGTGCCTCGAATGAAAGTGAATGGAAAATAAGTGGAGTGGAGTGGAGTGTGTTGGGGTAAAATGTGTAAAATATGTGCCCGAGGAGACTGAGAGTAGAGCGGGGAGGCAGAAACAGAACAACGGCCAAACAAGGCACCAAATGTTCGTTCCATGAATGTACATGCACACACACACACGTGTGTGCGCCTGTGTGCGTGTGTGCTCCTCATTTCCGGCCATTGTTTTTGGCCCGTGCACAGGAGTCTATGGCTGTGGCTGGTGCTGGGACTGGTTCTAGTTCTGGCTCTACTTCTGGGCTCTGTTCCCATTGCCATTCTATCGCCTTCCTGTTGTCGTTTTGGGCTGCTGCTGCTGCTGCTGCTGATGTTGCTGCTGTTTTCACGTTATGAGCTACTTGTTGTCCTGGTGCCTGGTGCCTGGTGCCTCTCCATATTCCGCTTTCACTCTACACATCCGTAGGCCTGTGCTGCATGTGTGTGACATGTTTACATAAAGTCCTTTACCGCTTCTAATGCATTATGGCAACAGCACGAATGGGTCTCTGCCGTCGTACTCATATGTACACACGTTGCATGCCCCGTTCCGAGACTGAAACCAGGAGGAGACCTGGCTGAATGCAACAACAGGGGAACCGGCAGGTTGAAATATCGCAGACGCATCGCATACTACACACACACACCAGCGCATAAATTTTTGCATATGAAATTTATTATGCTAAAAATAAGCCAAGATCTAAAAGCGACGACGCGACGCCTCGTCGGAGCTGACGAAATAGGGCCAACTTGCACTTGCACTGGAACGGGGACTGGAACGGGGAGAAGAGGGAGAGGGAGAGGGAGAGGAGCTGCATAATGAAGGCGAGGCAGCGAGGTAGCGGCAAATGTCATGACAACTCTCACTCGAGCAGCCTTCACACCTGCCTCTCCAGCCAGGGCCTATTTATGTGGCACGGCATCATCGTCTTTTGCGCCCCGGCCCGGTCCCGGCTCTGTCGCTGGCTCGTCGTTTGGCTGTGGGATCTTTTACAATTTGCTTTCCCCTTTTTGTGCTGCCGGAAGTGGGTCACGTATGCGCTCAGGCCCAGTCTCGCATTCCCGGCCAAGACAAAGCACCGCTGCACAGCCTGTAATTAAGCCCGCAATGATGATGACGCCACCGCCTCCAAATGGGCTCGACATTTGTTGTTCAAGTACACCTTCCTCCGAATGCTAGAATCGGTGGAAATTAACTTAAATTTTAAGCGTGTAGCAGGAGCTGAAGCTGTCGCTGGCTCTGTAGCTGTAGCTGTAGCTGAGGATTTCTAAAGCTTAATTCGCTGCGCCGTTTGTTAGGCAAGCACTAAGCCGTTTGTAATGCGTTTAGCGGCAGGCATTTGCATGCTTTTAGGCGCGCCACATCATCAAACAAACCCAAAACAAAACAAAAGCCAGGCCGAAGAAAAGAAAAGAAAAGTCGCGTTGGGCGAATGCTGTGCCATAAAAAAGTGCCAAGCAGCTAAATCCATTTTCCAGCAACAACAGCCAAGGCAGTTTGAAGGATTGTTTCCCCAGTGCGCCCACTGCCGCCTGTCGCAGTGTCTGCGCCTGACTGTTGACTGCCAGACGATGGGGAGGTGGACGAGGACGAGGGCGGTAGAATGGACTGTGCGTGTAACAAGTGCCACTCAAAAGGCTCGCTGGAAACAATGAAAGCAAAAAGCACTTAATAGGCTGCCACAGCAGCGTTGACATGGCCATTTATATGCCGCAACTTGGCAGCGTTTTTAATTCATAATGCACA